ATTTTTGTTCAGTCGTTCGCATTCTCACAGGCTCAAAAAGAGGTTTTTCTGAATGAGTGGCCAAGGACGAGCAGATCAGAGTGGTCGAAGAGGCGGGCATTTGAATGTGCGGGCTGTGTTTGGAACTCACGAATGGCAGGGTGTTCCCTTGCCTCCGCCTTCCTGGGATGCTGACATCAAGGAGGGATCAATTCATGCAGGCGTCCTCTCACACAAACACGAGGTTCGGTCAACATATGGGGGTGTCTTTTTTTGAGAGTACCACTTCTTGGTGTGCTTTAAAGGCAAACCAAAAGGAACACCACCCATTTTAGGGGTTCCCCGTAAATCTGAGGGACATGTCGATGGAACCATTATGACTGTAGCTCACATGTGCATTGAAGAAGATTCAAGACCCAGCCAAAGGTAAGACGCGTGCATGTCAGTACAGTTGCCGCAGTATCAATCTAGATGCATGGACTGTCCTACTTCCGGGAGTCATGCACACACAGACATCTCACACGAACACTTACCTCCAAGCCTTAGGCTTGATTTGCTTCTTAGGATTTATGCGATGTTCACCGGGGAAGTGGCGCCTTGGGTGACCTTGCTGTGCACGCAAATGTGCGCTTTGAATCGGATTGTTGCCGCTCCCCGTCTCAGTGGACCCAACTATGTCACACACACACACAGAAGCACATGTTGGCTGGGAAAAGTATGGCAACATGGCTCACCCTTCCGTTTCCAGTTAAATAGAAACCGACAGCTCGGGAGACATGTTTTGCTAATCATTTGCATATGTATTCATGATTCAAATCCTGCGCACAGTGTGTATATGTAGATCACTCATTGCATCTCAGCTTAGGGTGTAAGGATTTGGCCTCACTGGGTGCTTCGTCTACAAATAAGGGACCCCCCCGAACATGGTTGGCAAAAACGGTGCTTCACATTCATCCGCTACCACCCCCCCAAAAAAAGAAACAAAGGAAGAAACAACAACAAACAATAAATAAAGAACAACCAAAAATAAGTAAAGGACTCCAGGGGTGCATTCTGAAGCACGTAAGAGGCGCCCAATGCTGAATCGGCGTGGGCGAGCACCGTTTGCACCCGCGCGAGGACGGCGGCATCCGGTGGGAGAAGGAAGCCCTGGGCGGATCTGCCCTGTTCATGAAGCTGGTGGAGGCTCGCTCATTTCGGGCTTTCAATCTTTTGCCGATTCATTTGGGACCCAAATCATTAGCAGAGGCTCCATTTTTTTAGGCTCAGTTTGGGAAGCCGAAGGAACAAGCGGCTTTTGTTTCACCCCTTTTTAAAACTGGCTAGTTCAAAGTTCAAAGAGCTAAACTCAATCCTTAATCTTGCGTGCGAGATATAGACATCCACGCATGTCAGGATGCTTGGGAGCTCGCAAAGTGATAGGGGACTCATCCAAAAACGATATGTTAAGTATATCTATCTATCTATATATATATATATGTATATATGCACAACCTCATTACAACGCTATTGCATGATTTGGGCACTGGCGTGGATTTGTCACGTCTCAATCGATGCCGGCTCAGTAGGATGGGACCCGAGCTTGAAGTCGAGGGTCCAATGGGTGTTGAAACCTGTCACCAGCACTGCCTACGAAAGAGTACAGGTTGCAGTTTTGGCGTCCAGGGCGTCCTTTGGGAGGAATGCGATTGTCCTGGTGAAGGTGTTCCATTGCCCGAACGCATCATTTTGGGAGGATTTGCTTTTCAGAAGTTCGCAAAACGTTAGCGAAAACGACAACGAAGCGATGACGTGTCAGCGATATCGAAGCAGATGGCCACGGTTCCATTGTTCAAGACATATTTGAGGGAGTCTTTCACTTTTGTGAAAGGCGAAAGGCGAGACGTGAAAGCTTTCCAGCACGTTACACGAAAGGGTTACAACACACATTCATTGTTCCTAGAGGTCGAATAGGACACATACAAGGCCAGTGTCTGGTGCATCAAGTTAAATCATATACCAGTGCTCAATACGAGCTACCTGTTTTGTGCTCCCTTGGCTCTAGGGGCATAGCCGACTATTGTATTTGACCTATGGATGCTCTTACAGCATGGCCTCTCATATCATTGCAGTTGCCAAAGCGAAACTGGAAACAACCTGACATCTTCATTCTTCACCCCCCAATACCCCTAAAACATGACAGGCAATGTCCAATTCGGCGAAGCTATCATTTTGAGTCAGCGGATCAGAACTAGGGAACTCCCCCCGTTGAACAAACCCAGCGAAAGACGCACCTACATTATGTGACATGGTCAAAACATCTGTTTACTTGGGGTTGGGTGTGGCCATCAACCCCAAGGGGCTGTAGACCAGCAATTTTTAAGTGTTGCAAGCAGACCATGGGCATAAAAATCAGCAGATCCCCAGCACTCGCAAGTTCGCCATTGCCCCCCTGGAATCCTATTTGAGCCAGAGGTTCGAAAGGACCCTCCATCAAACGAGGCACGATCGCTTTCGAAGCCTTGTTAGAATAGCAGGAGCTTAGCTCCTCTTTGTAGTTTGAGGCTAGTGTCACCAGAGGGTACTAGTCTCTGATCGTCAAGCCGCGTGTTCAAAGGACCCCTTTACTTGGGCTTAACAGGGATGGCCATGCACCTGGCAGTGCAGATCCTCAATAACCATGATATTGATTACTATGAAGGGAACCCTGACCACAGGCCGCGCAGTTTTGACCGTGGCTCACCTTGACCTTTGCTCTTTTTGTCCACGATTTCAAGACTTTATTCAGTAGAAGGCGGGAAGCTTTTGGAAGGTTTGGATCCTACTCACAGAATTGGCTTGTCATTCTTTAGGATTCGGACTTCCCCAAGATGCCGCAACAGTTTTTCATTTTTTTGGGTTCCCTTTTGAACCGCACAAACAAAAGGTACCCTTAAACAAAAAGAGGCGCACCCTGATCCCAACATGGGCCAGTTTGCGAGGCTTTAGACGAAGCCCCGTTGGGCAGCTGGATGGACGCAGAGGCGGTCTTGGAACTCCAATCTATGAAGGAGGAGCTCCATATCGTGTCGAATAATATGACACCCCCCAAAATGGATTTCCGTTTTCCCAGTTGCTTGTCTTTCAACCCACCCAACAAAAGGTTTTCTCAAAAAAGGGGGCAGTTAGTGGTCGGAGACAGCCCCTGAAAGTTTGCATTGTTTCTGATGGTTGAAGTCCTTGTGTCAGCACCTCCAGCCGGGCGCGCCCTCCAGTGTTTGAATGATCCTGGCCACGCAGAACTCATCCAAAAAGGGGTTCCAGTCTGTGATTGATTTGGGGAGGACATGGGGGGCCTACGCAGTTGCTTTTCTTCCCAAATGGAGTATGAGTGAGAAGTAAGTAATGTCGTCCAGTACTCGACCAACAGACCAACAGAGGCAGCGGCTGTGGCTTCAGTTGACAGGAGACTGCTGCTCGCATTGAGGCAGACGGCCTCGAGGAGCGGATTCCGGGCATTCGAGGGCATTGGAACGGATTTATGTCGCCGTGTTGGCGCGAGAGAGTCCGAGCAAGAGCATCTCCCATTGACACACGCGCACATGTCTATGACACAGACACACACACGTGTAAGCTCGGTAGACCCTTGTACTACAGTAGGCTTGATGACACTGTTTCATTAAGGATGGCTGCAATCTATCTCGCTGAGGCGGATCCGGCTGCGCCCGTGTCGTCCAAGCTTGGTTGGGGACTGATACTGTGGGTATGAACTTCAGGCTCGGACGAGCCAGCAGATTACAGCCAGCTGAGCTGAGGCGATGATTTGGCGCGCCGTGGCCTGTTGGTGACCCCCAAGACCGAAAGCGACCTGAGGCGGCTTTCGGAGGGCGTGATTCCCGTTGCATCGGCGTGTCCTTTTCGTTTGGTGCTGTATGGGAAACCAAATGGCACGCCATTTCTTCCGGTCTCCTTTGAGGCAAACTCATATGGGTACCCTCTTCCGGTCTCCTTTTTGTTGAGGGTACCCCTTCTTTGTCGGTTTTAAGGGGGAGACCAGGAACACCACCTGTTTATTCGGGTCCCATCACTCTCAAGACACGGCGATATTTGCCATGGCGAGGCGATGGCTCTCCGGGCAGCGCTTGCAGGGGCAGTCAGTGGGCGAGTTCCCATTCGAGAACAGGCCTCAACTCAAGGGAAATGGCATGTCGAGTTTCTCTGGATGGTTGTGAAATCCATTTCGCACCAAGAAACCATGGTTGAAACCATAACGTTTGTCAGGGGAATCGAATCATTTCAGGGTTTTCTGGGTGCTGTGGGATTCAGTAGGGAACGCCTTTTGGTTCAAGTTTATCCCCACTCGCGCTCGCGGCTCGTCTCGCAGCTGTCGCAGCGAGGACGAGAGTCCAATGCCGTTCTCAGAACGGCCTAGCGAAATCGGCCGTTCGAAATGCCCGGCTCAATGACCGCTCATGGATCCGCCGAGCCAACAGCAAGGATTCCACCGGGGCCCCAACCGAAACACCCGCCATGACGCAAGTTTAAAAGTCGACCAAAAGTTTAAAAGTCTTCCCTGTGTTTTTCCCAAGCCGACCAAACATCTCGGAGACTTTGCTGAACATGTTGCAGGCTGCTGCGAACCTCGCCTCCGGAACTGCCCTGCGCTCGAATGAGAAATGAGTCGCCCTTAGTGGCACGCCTTGCTAAGGCCAAGCACGGGCTTCCCATACACCAAGGAAGAAGCTGAGAAAGCTCAGAAGGAAGAGAGCATCACTGCATGATGCCTGACGGCACCCATTTGCGCGCCGGAGGGCACCCCAGTGCGGGAATTTTCAACCAGTGACATAGGATGTGCTGTGGTCACACACACAGCGCACCTCAGTTGTGTTGCCGTGGGCATCGTACGCTCTCGATTCAGTTGAAAACTCGCTGTTCAGCATTCGACGCGTCGGAAAGAGCTTGCGCTCTGTGCCTATGGGCAAGGACTGCGGGAAACTTGGTCGGCGGCCAGCACAAACGGTTCAAACTGCACAGATGAAATGCCTGGTTAGTCTAGAATGCAGGTACCACGAACATCAGTACGAGATTGACCAGCGCGGTCTAGATGTGCATCTCTCTCGCTTGATGACACGGAGATAGCTGGGATGTAGATTCCTGGCTGACACGGCAGGTTCTTGCTGGCTCACCTTTGCGAATACCAGAAGGGGAGCTTGGCGTCTCCTTTCCACCAAAAGACTTGCCAAAGGCCAGGGTTACGGGACTGCTTTCGCATGGAGGCTTGAGCTGCCCAGGTGCAGGTTGGTGTTATGGAGGATGAAAACAAGGCGTCCTATGGCTTGATCTTTTTGCATCCCTGTGCTTTGTGCGTCGCAGGTTGTCATTGGCTTCATTGGATGGTATGGCCATGTCTCCCGCATGCTCGTGTCCGGGCCTTTCGGAAGAGGACAAACAGCCTGTGCAAATGCCAGTTCAACCATGTTGCTCACATTGAGTGGCAAAGTGAGTCCAACAGAACACAAAAGGATCACATCAGCAATCAGCATGTCATGTGAGCACCGGTAAATATTTGCTGTCATCTATGCTAGTGCCATTTGTCAGTCGCCACAAAACCATCAGGAACCGGTTATGAATTTTAGTAGCTAATGGGGGACCCTGCGGTGGACCTAATTTTGGTGGGGATTCATGTCCACCAACCACTTTTGGTGGGTCCAACTCTTACCAACTCATAGCAACATGGGGTGACTCACTTAGCCAGGGGAGTTTTGGAGACATGACTGACTGTGGCTGCAGGTTTCACTGGTGCAACTCGCCGCTCAGCGAGAAGTGGGAGGAGCCAGTCTATTTTGCTTCTCAACCGCCGGAGTACTCAACCTGAGAGACTACGGGGTGCTTTTTACCCCAGAGGGTTTATAAACATGGGTCAAACTGAACCGTGCTTCAAGCCTGGTCTTCCTTCGTAGGAGCTCAATGTTGCCTACAGTGCGGCAGAAGTCATCGAGGACAACGAAAGAATGCGAGTCATGTGGGCTTGTCTCTAAGGGGAACTCCCAAACCAGTGTTTTTATTGTGGTTTCCTCTCAAAAAGCGACACGCGGCCGTGACAATCCGACCTTGGTTCTCTGGAGGAGTGGATGCCGCAGGGCTCCCAGGGTAGCATTCCTTGCTTTGGATGTGGATTTGAAGCCCTGGTTCAATGGGAAACAGTGCGACAACATATCCGAAACATCAATCCAGTCCACCAATCCAAACCGTCAATAGGGAAGCAGAGGATTGTTTCACTTGCACTCTGTTTGATTTGCACACGGCATGGCGACCTTGAGCAACAGCTACCAATTTCGTGCCAGTAGATTGCACAGCATCTTTGCCTACGCTCTACCTTTTGTAATGGGTGCTGAGGCTGTCCTTGGCTTTGTCCGTGGTGTCCACTGCGGGCTTTCGGGTACAGCCTCGAGAGCCATCCGAAGAGCCGGATGCCATAGGGCCATAGGGTCCCGGGGATCCGGTGTGCCATAATTACACCTGGCCTGTTTGCTTGGGTTTATAGAGATGGTCATGGATTCCATAGGCAGTTTGACCATCAAGCGGAGGTTTTCTTGCTGGTGCTCGGGGAATGAAGGAATTAACCTGGGAATTCCATTCAAGGAAACCACAAGGTAAGGTTTTTCTTGGGGTCATTCCAACTCGTTCCCTGCTGAGCAGCAAGGTTTTGACCAGCTGTCCACCTGCCAAGGTGGTCTGTGACGGAAAAGCAGGAAGTTCCTGGCAGCTCAGCGTTTGCTGCTCGGGGGTTTGCCGGCCATCCAAAACCTCGGGATTTTGGACAATCCCAACCATAAACTGTACCTGGGCTCGTCTTTGGTAAGGTAATTACAGGACTCCCCCCTAAATGATCGGCCTTTGGTTCTCTTAAAAAAAAGCACCAAGGGGGGGGGGGAGACACATGAGCAATGGACAACATGACTGGTCGTTTGTTGATTTGGAGAGGACATGGGGGGACCCACTACCCCCCTTTGTCGTGGGGGCCGAACTGAACCAACAGCAAGTACTATTGTCTGTGACTCGAGAATTGGGGCTGATCTTTTTAGTACCAGGTGTTTGATTGTGACTCAATTGACTTGGGCTCACGCTTTTCGTGGCACCGAGGTGGCGCCTGGTGGGAAAGGCGCGAAGAGTTCTTGAGGCCGGCACCTGCTTTGGAAGTGGCAAGTGGCATTTTTGTGTGGCTTCCTCAAGCTTACTTTTGGGGGTGGGTTCCCTTTGAACCAGCATTTGGATGGTAAATTGTTAAATGCGTCCTTTGAGGGTACCCTGTTTTTGGGAAGCCACGCCATCATTGCACCATTGACCTTGCAGGCATACCGCCTGCCCAAGCCTCTGGTTCGTTTGCCATGCTGGTGAGAGGCGCGTTGGCTTAGAGACGCCCAAAGCGGCGTTTGGATGGACCATGGCTTTGGACAAGTGGTGCTTTTGGATTCGGGTTGAAAATGGTTGAAAGATACGTACATGATGGGTCAAAGTCTCTTCCACCAGGATTTGGACCGCAGGTTTCAGTCCTTGGTTCCATTTACCAGGATTTTTGACCCACACCCACATCCAAAACCCTGCTTTGGACACGAATCCTCTAAATCGTAAACGTGATTGTACAGTACTTCCACTCCGTCAAATAGAATGACAATCCCATACTGAGGAAGTGGCACAGCATGCGTGGGAGCATCAGCATTCCTTCTTTCCTGCGTCCCATTCAAGATTGGGTCATGAGCAGTTCCAGCTCCTGCCAGCGTGGCAGCTGGGCCCTTGCTGGCATTACCCTGTGTACCGTCAGGGGCCCAGGGGCGAGCCGGCTCCACTTGCTGTACCAGCAATGCGACCAGCCCAAATGTATCCAGACCCCGATTGCCTGACTGTGACGAGTTGTGTTGCCAACATCGTCAAAAGGCGATCAACCCGCTGGACACGCCCAACCGCATCCACAGCAAGATTTGGCTCAACAGAAACGAGGTAAGTCTGCAACATGTATCCAATCATGCGTGGGTGTTTGCTTCGCGCACTTGTCAGGACAATGACGAAGTCGCTGAAGGTTAGTAAGGAATAGTCCCAAATGGGTGCCTTCGCCGCCTTGTTAATTCTTTACATGGTTCTGGGGAAGAACCATTTTGTACCGAACGGGTTTGATTCTGATTCACGTGTTACTGCATTTCGCTTTGCAAGCACATGGCCCCCATGAGGCCTGGACACGGACTGAACTTGCTTGTGAGCTTGCGATCGTTCGGTCGATAGGCAGGGAATGAGAATCGGAATGACCCCAAGAAAAACAGTCCCACGATTTGGCTTCTTTTAAGGGAATCTCCTTCCGGTTCATTCAAGGGTCATTCCCTACTGATTCCCTACTGAGCACCAGCAAGTTATGTCATTTGCTAGTTCTGCATTTAACTCAAGTATTGTTGCCGCAGCTCGCTTGGCTCAAGGACGTAAGGACGTAAAAACAGCAGCCGCGAGCCTTTGGCGAGATGAGCGAAACGGCGAGTGAGGGCAAGAAGAAACTCTTCACCTACACCGGCATGCTTTTGATCGGTTTGTGCATCTCACAGGTGAGTGCAGGCCATTTGGGCCTTGGCGCATACGCCTCGTATAGCCGAGTGGTCGGCTTGCTCACGATGTTTTGCCTCTCCTTCCTGATGGTTGGGGTGGGCCACGAGTTCGTGATTGAAAGAAGCAAGCTGGGGAACTATGCCAAAGACTACTTGATCGCCATGTCGGCCGCCGGCTTGCCGTGGATTTTTGTGGCCCTTTGGCTACACTTCGCTCTACCTTCCTCAGGTCTCGCTTGGGGATCCGCTTTGCTGATGGCGAGATTTGCGGCACCTACCAGTGCTGGCATCCTGTTCAACATGTTGGAAGCAGCAGGATACAAAGAAACCTGGTTGTTCAAAAAGGCCCAAATTCTGGCCATCTTTGACGACCTCGACACGATTCTGCTGATGATCCCCCTGAAAATGTACTTGGTCGGGTTCAAGTGGGAGCTCTCCGTGGACGCCGTCTTCGTTTCGCTGTGCCTGGCCCTCGCATGGCAGAAGCTCCACAAGATCCGACTCCAGAGCTCATGGAGGTGGACTATGGTGTATTCCGCGGTGATTACCAGCTGCTGTGAAGGCCTGTGCCGTGTGTGTGTGTGTGTGTCTGTGAGTATGTATGTCTGCCTGTCGGTATGTATGTAATGTATGTATGTATGTATGTATGTATGTAATGTAATGTAATGTAATGTAATGTAATGTAATGTAATGTAATGTAATGTAATGTAATGTAATGTAATGTAATGTAATGTAATGTAATGTAATGTAATGTAATGTAATGTAATGTAATGTAATGTAATGTAATGTAATGTAATGTAATGTAATGTAATGTAATGTAATGTAATGTAATGTAATGTAATGTAATGTAATGTAATGTAATGTAATGTAATGTAATGTAATGTAATGTAATGTAATGTAATGTAATGTAATGTAATGTAATGTAATGTAATGTAATGTAATGTAATGTAATGTATGTATGTATGTAATGTAATGTAATGTATGTATGTATGTATGTATGTATGTATGTATGTATGTATGTATGTATGTATGTATGTATGTAATGTAATGTAATGTAATGTAATGTAATGTAATGTAATGTAATGTAATAATGTAATGTAATGTAATGTAATGTAATGTAATGTAATGTAATGTAATGTAATGTAATGTAATGTAATGTAATGTAATGTAATGTAATGTAATGTAATGTAATGTAATGTAATGTAATGTAATGTAATGTAATGTAATGTAATGTATGTATGTATGTAATGTAATGTATGTATGTATGTATGTATGTATGTATGTATGTATGTATGTATGTATGTATGTATGTATGTATGTATGTATGTATGTATGTATGTAATGTAATGTATGTATGTATGTATGTAATGTAATGTATGTATGTATGTATGTATGTATGTATGTATGTATGTATGTATGTATGTATGTATGTATGTAATGTATGTATGTAATGTATGTATGTATGTAATGTAATGTAATGTAATGTAATGTAATGTAATGTAATGTAATGTAATGTATGTATGTATGTATGTATGTATGTATGTATGTATGTATGTATGTATGTATGTATGTATGTATGTATGTATGTAATGTATGTATGTAATGTATGTATGTAATGTAATGTAATGTAATGTAATGTAATGTAATGTAATGTAATGTAATGTAATGTAATGTATGTAATGTAATGTATGTATGTAATGTATGTATGTATGTATGTATGTATGTATGTATGTATGTATGTATGTATGTATGTATGTATGTATGTATGTATGTATGTATGTATGTATGTATGTATGTATGTATGTATGTAATGTATGTATGTATGTATGTATGTATGTATGTATGTATGTATGTATGTATGTAATGTAATGTAATGTGTAATGTAATGTATGTAATGTAATGTAATGTATGTATGTAATGTATGTATGTATGTATGTATGTATGTATGTATGTATGTATGTATGTATGTATGTATGTATGTATGTATGTATGTATGTATGTATGTATGTATGTATGTATGTATGTATGTATGTATGTATGTATGTATGTATGTATGTATGTATGTATGTATGTATGTATGTATGTATGTATGTATGTATGTATGTATGTATGTATGTATGTATGTATGTATGTATGTATGTATGTATGTATGTATGTATGTATGTATGTATGTATGTATGTATGTATGTATGTATGTATGTATGTATGTATGTATGTATGTATGTATGTATGTATGTATGTATGTATGTATGTATGTATGTATGTATGTATGTATGTATGTATGTATGTATGTATGTATGTATGTAATGTATGTATGTATGTATGTATGTATGTATGTATGTATGTATGTATGTATGTATGTATGTATGTATGTATGTATGTATGTATGTATGTATGTATGTATGTATGTATGTATGTATGTATGTATGTATGTATGTATGTATGTATGTATGTATGTATGTATGTATGTATGTATGTATGTATGTATGTATGTATGTATGTATGTATGTATGTATGTATGTATGTATGTATGTATGTATGTAATGTATGTAATGTATGTATGTATGTATGTATGTATGTATGTATGTATGTATGTATGTATGTATGTATGTATGTATGTATGTATGTATGTATGTATGTATGTATGTATGTATGTATGTATGTATGTATGTGTATGTATGTATGTATGTATGTATGTATGTATGTATGTATGTATGTATGTATGTATGTATGTATGTATGTATGTATGTATGTATGTATGTATGTATGTATGTATGTATGTATGTATGTATGTATGTATGTATGTATGTATGTATGTATGTATGTATGTATGTATGTATGTATGTATGTATGTATGTATGTATGTATGTATGTATGTATGTATGTATGTATGTATGTATGTATGTATGTATGTATGTATGTATGTATGTATGTATGTATGTATGTATGTATGTATGTATGTATGTATGTATGTATGTATGTATGTATGTATGTATGTATGTATGTATGTATGTATGTATGTATGTATGTATGTATGTATGTATGTATGTATGTATGTATGTATGTATGTATGTATGTATGTATGTATGTATGTATGTATGTATGTATGTATGTATGTATGTATGTATGTATGTATGTATGTATGTATGTATGTATGTATGTATGTATGTATGTATGTATGTATGTATGTATGTATGTATGTATGTATGTATGTATGTATGTATGTATGTATGTATGTATGTATGTATGTATGTATGTATGTAATGTATGTATGTATGTATGTATGTATGTATGTATGTATGTATGTATGTATGTATGTATGTATGTATGTATGTATGTATGTATGTATGTATGTATGTATGTATGTATGTATGTATGTAATGTATGTATGTATGTATGTATGTATGTATGTATGTATGTATGTATGTATGTATGTATGTATGTATGCATGTATGTATGTATGTATGTATGTATGTATGTATGTAATGTTTGTATGTATGTATGTATGTATGTATGTATGTATGTATGTATGTATGTATGTATGTATGTATGTATGTATGTAATGTAATGTAATGTAATGTAATGTATGTAATGTAATGTATGGTATGTATGTATGGTATGTATGTATGTATGTATGTAATGTATGTAATGTATGTATGTATGTATGTATGTATGTATGTATGTATGTAATGTATGTATGTATGCATGTATGTATGTGTGTATGTATGCATGTATGTATGTATGTAGGTAGATAGGTATGTATGTATGTATGTAATGTATGCAATGTATGCACATGTACGTATGTATGTATGTATGTATGTATGTATGTATGTATGTACGTACGTACGTACGTATGTATGTATGTAATGTATGTAATGTACGTAATGTATGTAATGTATGTAATGTATGTAACGTATGTAATGTATGTAATGTATGTAATGTATGTAATGTAATGTAATGTACTGCAATGTAATGTATTGTAATGTGATGTAATGTAATGTATTGTAATGTAATGTATGTAATGTATGTATGTGTGTATGGTATGGTATGGTATGGTATGGTATGGTATGGTATGGTATGGTATGGTATGGTATGGTATGGTATGGTATGGTATGGTATGGTATGGTATGGTATGTATGTATGTATGTATGTATGTATGTATGTATGTATTGTATGTGTGTATGTATGTTATGTATGTATGTATGTATGTATGCATGAATGTAATGTATGTAATGTATGTAATGTATGTAATGTATGTAATGTATGTAATGTATGTAATGTATGTAATGTATGTAATGTATGTAATGTATGTAATGTATGTAATGTATGTGATGTATGTAGTGTATGTAATGTAATGCAACGCAACGCAATGCAATGTAATGTAATGTAATGTAATGTAATGTAATGTAGTGTAATGCAATGTACTGCAATGCAATGTATGTAATGTAGATATGTTTTTATGTATGTATGTATGTATGTATGTATGTATGTATGTATGTAATCCATGTATGTATGTATGTATGTATGTATGTATGTATGTATGTATGTATGTATGCACGTGTGTATGTGTGTATGTGTATGTGTGGTGCCCTTGTTTTGTTGGGGGAGTGATTTTCTGATGTTTTTTTCTTTTCTTTTTTTTTTTTGGGGGGGGGGGTGTGAGTTTTTCTTTGGTGGGGGGAGGTGTTGCTTGTTTTTCTTCCTGGGGTGTGTGTATGTGTATGCGTGTTGTTTTTTCTCGCAAGGAAAGGGGTTGTAGAAACTAGTCAAATGGGCACCAATCATTTTTAGGTCCAGCCCTTAGGTTTGGCGGGAATCCCAAGAAAGAAGCATGACGCATCCTCAATTCAGTCTGCTCCCCACCAGTAGGGTTCAAAGACACTGCTTGCAAGATCGCTGCACTCCTGCCTCGCATACATTTCCCAAGCATGTCCGGAGACTGTATTGGAATTCTTGTTTTAAGCTGTTTTCAGGGTTCCGCCCTCTCATTTCGCATGGTATTTGTGGGACATGTATGATCGGCTCCCAAACCTTGACTTGCGAGGCATGACATATACTGCTGGCGATTGTGCATTTAGGCATCCGCTGCAAACCATGGCAATTGCCATGTTCTCTCTCGCTAAACACTGGTAGCATGGCGTGAGTCAGCTGAATTCGCTTTGCGGTTGCAGGCCCCAGAGGGCCTCATGAAACCAGGACAAAATGTTTTGGTATTGATCCGAAGTGCAGATATTTACAGAGAACAAGGGTTGCAAATGTGGGAGGCCAAGCGGACTGGGAATGCCACAAATCCCACACAGCAACACGCAAGCGAGCACGAAGCCTACTTCAGCGGCTTGCGTTGAGCCACGCTTACGGCTTGCCAGTGCGGCCTTACGCAACACCCCACCCCCCACCGTGCCCCCTCCCCGGCTTTCTTCAGCTCCCTTTGTGCCTGGATTTCTTTTTTCCTCCCCCAATTTTTCGGAAGGAGGGTAAAGGCCAAAGGCAACTTCTAGCCTCGTGACTCGCGAAGGTTTATGCCACTTCACCGATGGGCGCGTGCACATCGAGGTGTTGTTGCCCGCCTTTGTCATGGGCTGCATGACTCGGATCTGCCAGCCCGAGGACGTATTGGGGCGACTCGAATTTTTGAAGCCGGTCGAAGCCGATTCAAACGTACCCCAAAGTAAGCGCTGATGTAAGCATAGGCTTGAACCGAGCGGTTCACTCAGGATTCCTCCATTTCCAATTTGGACCCTCCAAAAGTGGAATCTACCAGTAAGTTACAACTTTTGAAGGGGAAATCCATCGATTTCAGTGAAACCGGGTGGTTCATTCCCCCAAAAGGAGAACTCCTGGGCTTTAAGTCTATCGAACAAAGATGCGATTGCTTGAAGGAGCCCCAAGTAACCCTGAGGACACCTGGTGCGAGGTGCTGGACGAAAGGTGGGAGGAGAACGTCAAGAGTATTGTCTCCACCTTCTTCATGCTGCTGGTGGGAATCTCACTTGCGAGCGAATCGACCTGTGACCTTCTCATGGCCCAGGTTTGATTTTGGGTTTGTCATGAATGTTGACCTTTTTGACATTTGGGGCCATGGTGAAGGTTGCAAAAGGCTTACAAGTTCAAGGTCCTTTCGGCAAGTGAGGAATGTCAATGCCGTCTCTCTTCTCGGTATCAGGGCACCTCACGGCAGCTCAGACAGCTTGGCACGTGTTCGTGGTCTCAGTTCTAATGGTCCTGGGTAAGATGATGCTCCTCTTCTGCTACAGGAAAGAGGCAGACCTTCGTACCAGGCTCGCGCTTTCCTTGGGCATGTGCCCTCGTGGAGAGGTGGGGGCTGGCGTCATTGCCATCTCCCTGGGGCTCGGCATGCAGGGACCTGCGGTGGCAGTGGCTGTCTTGAGCTTGGCGGCGAACCTGGTGCTGTCCACCGGCTTCATCATGATGATCGACCGCTTGATGAAGAACCAACTCCCCGCAAGCGCCCCATCCTTGTCCTCGGGGTCCCCGGGGTCCTCGGGGTCGGGGGCCACGGCTCTCCCCAGGCGGCCGTTGGGGCCGGCCGGAGCGCGGCACCGCTTCGCAGGGATTCCCAGCCGGCCCAGGCCAGTGGCGGCGCCGGCGTTGGCTCGTGGCGCTTGTTTCCTCTTGCCACACGCCGCGAGTGGCACGCCCTTGGGGTCGACTGCTTTCATGCTGGCAGGCTGCTGGGTTGCCCGAGCACTGCGCAAGAAATGAGGGCCCGGCTCGCGGCACATATGAGAAATGCATGGAATACCCTGCAGATTCAGTGGAGAGCATGGCACTGTTTCAAGATGAGGCTGTTCCAGAGTCTGCGCTGTTCCAAGACAGCGGATGCAGAGCATGCTGGCACCATCTTCAGTTTCGCGTTCCATCGGTTAGTCCAGGTCATGGGAACATGCCCGGACTGTATTTGTCGTCATAAAAATCAAAGTGTGCAAAGCTGCAGAGCGACCTGCATATGTGTGTGTGTGTGTGGTGTGTGTGTGTGTGAGAGAGTTCAATCATCATACTGAACGCAATTCTGTTTGGCATCGCCCGTGTGCGGGATCACTCTCACGCCATCGATTGTGCAGCTGTTGTTCGGCCCAAGTACCGCAGAAATGCGTTGCCGGCGACAATGCACCGCTCGCGGCAGGCTTCTCATCTTGGCTGGGGAGCGAAGCGCCGTGCAGTTGCGCCACTTCTGGCATTGACTCTGTGGGCGGTTTTCCTGCATGGGACTGGGGAAGCTCAAAGAGAAGCCCCCAGCCTGTCCTCCAGAGCCTTTGTGCCAGGCATGCGGACGCCAAGATTGTCGAAATTTCCAAGACATGCTCACAAAGAAAAACCTTTGTCGTTTGAAGAGTTGCCACAGGATGCAGCACATGAGAGTAATGGGCTGAATTCCTGGAATGCAACTCGCATGGTCTTGTCTACTTCATTGGTCGCTCTCCTCCTCTCAGTTGGAACAGCAATGTACTTTCAGACCAGTTCGCCGCAACTTTCAAGCGAACAAGTTACATATGCTGCCTGGTATTCTAGGGTTGCTGACAGGGTGCGGGCCCTTGTGGCAGAAAAGCCAGTGGCCGGCATTGCATCAATCGCAAAACGAATTCGAAACATGAGCTCCCTGTTGGACGTCACCCAGGAAGACGTCTACACTGAATTCTGGGAGAGTCTCCAATCAGATGTCTTGATTTTCAGGGCGTATCTGCCATTGTTGGACTATTTCATGGCATCGACCTATCCTCATCCAACTCCACAGCAAGAGTCTGTGCTGTCGGCCTTGCAATTTGAGCTGTCCCGGTTTCGGCAGGCCCTGAGTGACTTTGATGCATGCGTTCGCAACAAAAACATCAGGGGGACCGAGAAGGCATTTGCCGAGTTGTCCGTGGCCTATGACAGGTATCTCAAAGGCGCTGCCTTGTACGAGGGCTACGATCCCATGACGAGCACTGAGATCCTCTACAAGGACATCACCGACGCCCAGCTCGTGTATACTCCATCTGCAGTGCAAAAGCCTGCAGTACGAGATGAAGTGCTGGTGATCCGGGGTCCGGACAAAGGGAAGATCGGTCGAGTCATTTGGTTGTACGATCAGTTGACTGCAACTGTGAAGCTGGAGCCGAATCCTTTGCTCGGTGGCTCAGAAATTAAGGGCTTCAGAGAGGTGAAGTCCTTTCCGCAGTCGTGGATTGCACTGACGCGGACGAACGAGCAAAACCGGGTGCTGGATTTGGTGATGGCCGCGCTGGCCACTTTCTTCACCTGCTGTGTGACCTACCCGCTTGAAACTATCAAGGCAAGGGTACAGGCAGCACAGCCCTTGCTTGATGAGCAGCAATCCTTGGGTGGATTGTACAACGGATTGGTGGTTACACTGATCCGAGAAATCCCAGCAAAGAGCCTGTACATCTCAGGCTTCAACAGCATCACTCGGTTTTTCTGTTTGCTGCCCTTTATCGATGCAAACAATGCAGATCTGAAGCTTCTGGTGATGATACCAGCAGGTGCTTTGGCTTACTTTCCCGGGACGTTTCTGCGAGCTCCGTTCGAGCTGCTCAGCCGGCAAATGCAGACTGGCATGTTCGATTCTGAAGAGGCAGCAGTGACCCAACTTCTGTCCAATGACGAGCGCCTGCAGCAGAGCCTTTTCAAATCTTGGGCCTTGGTCTTGTTGCGGGGTTTGCCGTTTGGTGCCTTGCAGTACTCCCTCTACGACTTTCTCCATGAACATCTGGAAGTGGTGCAGTACGGCATTCCGCTGAGCCTGCAACCGGTGATTTGGGGAGCTTTGTCCGGAGCAATGACCGGGTTGCTCACCAACCCCCCCGATCTGGTGTTGTCAGTCCTGCTTACGCAGGAAGAGGCGAAAAGGTCAGATGAGGATGAGGATGTCTTTGAAGCCTTCGCTCGAACCTCGGGGTCCATCTTGGAAGCTCAAGGCGTTGCTGGCTTTTTTCAGGGGGCATCAGCAAGAGCTGTGCAGATTGGCATGGAGTCTTGCGTGTTCTTCACGATCCTGGAGGGGCTGAAGGATGGCGCCAAACTCATCTTAGACTTTTGAGGCATATGTTTTCACCCTCATGTCTTTGCTTCAAAGCGGAAGAGGTAGCCAAAAGGTCCGCTTGAAATCTGAGTTGGTTTGAAAGCTTCTCAATGTGAATCGTGCTGGGAACATGTTGTCCAGGGTGATTTGACACCCTTTTACCCGGGGCGGGGATGGTGGAGCCCTTGATCTTAGACCACGAGTGTTCTCGAGGAAACCAGGTAAGGAGGTTCTATGGCACGTGGCTGCGCGCGTTTTGTCGAGAAGGCTTCGTGCCTTTTTTTCTTCGCCCCCGCCCACCGGCTCAGGCCATGATGCCATGAAGGCGCGGAATTGTGAATGACCTG